TAGTCCACGAAAGCTTATGCTCTAATAAATTTGTTAGTCTCTAAGGTGCCACAAGTACTCCTGTTCTTCTTATAGCATTAAGTGTTGAGATCAAGCCTAATGACATGCGCATCTCAGATAGTATTTCAGTAGTTTTTAATCATCAATTACCAAAGTCCAAATCACCACACGTTTCAACATTTCATGTTACATTTCAAGTTCTTCGGGAGCTTCAACATGGCATTACGTTTCTTAGTGAGATGTGCACCATAGGACTCCTCCGTGTGCGTGCATACCGAGCAGCTTCTGCACAGGTTTCCAAAGGTTTTCCCAATGACAAGATGTTCATCTGCAAGAAACGAATGTCCACTGTTTAATCCCTGAAGTCCCATGAAATACTGCTGTAGTTGCAGTCAGTGGAGGTTGCCTGTGCCTCATTGGTACAAGAGAAAGGAGCGGGGGGGCTGGCAGGCTGTTCTCCATTACAGTCCTGAACCTTTGGAACTCACTGCTCCATTTTGTCCGCAACTGATCAAGTTTGCTAGCCTTCAGAAGTTGCTGCAAGGCTTATCTTTTCTACCTGGCTTGTAAGGAGATGATGAATGGGTGAGGCATGCTAGGGACAGTGTTGGACTACATGAGGTGGTTAACTCATTTTTGGTATATTTATGTTGCTGCGGGGTTATTTAATCTTGACATGATAGGTTTATTTAGATGGGCTTTTACAGGATTGCCAAGGGCTCCCAAAGCATTGAACGGGCACTCTTATTGGCTACAGTTATAAAATTCCAAATAAATAAATAAATAAATAAACAAACAAACAATCAATCAGTGCTGGAGAGCAACGTGTCAATAGCAAACCATATGTTTTTAAAGGACAGAAATTCTAAATTCTTACGTGGAATATGACCGCTGTATTTTGGCAGCATCCCTTCAGGCCTGTAGAATCTTTGGTATGCGTTGGGAACTTTGCTAACTTCATACATTTTGCCTCTAAAATAAAACAAAATCATAGTTCAGAAGGTATCCTCTAACTTCTATCATTTCAGAATTTGCTTACATGTCCCCATGTTTTACAAAACTACCAGACTTAATTTTTAACTCTCATGGCCTTAGTTGCCTTCCAACTGTATGTGTTCTGCTCACGAGTCTTGCCCCACATGCCCACAACACTCATGTGTTCCTTGCACACCCCAAACACCCATTGCCTTTCCAGGGAGTTTTGCGTGTACATGGAATATGGGATCCAACTGACACCAACAGACAGGATTTCATCCATTGGACCAAGTTCTGCTCTCAGCTAAACTCATGCAAGTCCACCAATTTCACTGGGTGCATAGGTATACCTGTGAGGAAAATGGGGTGCATGGGTGAGGCTGTGTAGGGGGGAGCTGTGAACATAGGTCCCTTACGCTTTCCAACAGATGAGTAAGCACTCAGCACACAACATATTAGACGTCCTCACTGTATAGTGCAAAACCTCAATTACAGCCTCAGCAAGTGCTAACACATGCTCCATGATGACATATCTGTAGGGTGCTGTGTGTGTATGTGTGTGTGCGTGTGTGTTAGGAAACACCAACTCATAATTAGGCTTGTGCACTGTACTGGGAGGAAAATGGATGTGCTGAGGCCAGTGTATTCCCTTAATCAGCAGGAGGCAGAAGGAAGTTGCCTGCAGAGGTGCAGCATCTGTCACTCAGTGGGAGGAGGGAAGAAGGGAAATACTCCCTCTCGCCAAGTTTGGAAAGGGAAAGTCCTGTTTCCGATGCCTTGACCATCCCTCTATGGCAATTCAAACTCTCAAGTCTTCACAGCCACACTCTTCCCCCTGCTCCACTGCCAAATCCTTTCCTAGTTAGTAAGAGGCCTGCCCATTCTGCTTATAGTGGTACAGACCAACTCTCCTGTCCTTCCAAGGACAAAAGCCCAGACTCACTTGTCTTCCTGCTCCCAACCCATCATTGCCTCTTGCTGACAGCTGCTAAGGCTTTGTCAACACTAAATACTGAGGCAAACTTAAATTTCGTTGGCAATGCAAATGTCAGATAAGCAGAAAAAGATTCAGAGCTTTTCTATTAAATTAAATACAGTACTGAAATAAGCAGTCACTTGATGTGCTTTTCTGGATTAAAAGCGAGGTTCCCAAGAGCTTTTCCTCCTATCAACACTGAATTTTCAGTCCTACCGAGGCTGCCAAATGTAGATCTTTTCTACACTGACCTTTCAGCTACTGGTATATGCCTCACTGGGGCAAATAATGATGCTCTGGTGAAAATCCACTAGATGTTTGTACCAGTTAAACTACACCAGTACCTGAGATTATTGTAAGCGAGGCCTTAGATCAGAGATGGGTAAACTTTTTGGCCTGAGGGCTGTATCGGGTTTCAGAAATTGTATGGAGGGCTGGTTAGGGGAGGCTGCCTCCCCAAACAGCCAGGCTAGCCTCCCGGGCCAGGAGCTCAGGGGCTAGGCAGAACGGTCCCGCGGCCATAGTTTGCCCACCTCTGCCTTAGATTCACCATGCAGCAGGATGTACTGGAAATACTTGTGGTTCAAGTGGTGAACAGAAAAGGTCTGAAGATCAGCATAACCAAAATATAACAATGTGCTTCTGTGCACAGTAGTTCTTGTGTGTTGTCTATGTTCAGTACCCTCTATAGATAAGTAAGCTTTTAAAATAAAATTATGAAAAATACACAGTATAGTGCAGTCTTTCAAAAAAAAGTATGCTTTATATTACAAATGCTGTACTACACAGATTCCTGACAATCATGCCCCAGGAGAGCCCCTAAAGTCTATGTAACCCTGTTACCTGTCCTACTCCCTTTAATTGCTTTAGTGATTGGTGAGGTTATATTTATTGATTGCTCTACTCCACCATACAATTAAACATCATCATCATCATCACCATCTTATATATTGTAGTACTTTTCGATCAATGTATTTTAGTCTAAAATTACCTCTGGAAATTGCTGGTGGGATCGTAGCAGACCTGATCTCTTAAGTTCTTAAAATCCTGATAGCAATTTTTTGTCATTTCATGGTAAGGAACACCATATCCCAGTTCAGTGACTCTTGCTCTAGGCACAAACCCAGTCCAACCAGGAATAGGGGGCTCTAGTAAACTTCTCTTAGTTATTACAGTACCTGCAAAATGACCAAATAAATGCCACCTCAAAATTACACCTAACTGCCCAAGAAAATATCTGCTTATATTTACCATACGGGATAAAAAGGTTCCTGTCTTATAACAAATGTTCTCAGTTAATTGACATGCTTCATAGAATGTTCATTAGTCACTTTATATCACCAAGAGTGGGTCTCACCACTTTTGATATGCCCCTTAGTGGTGCCTAGATAACTTTTTCTCTTTTATGGGCCCAGATCCTGAAGTCCTTCCTCACTTTTGAATCAGTCCTTCCTCAGGCTAGGAAAGGTCTTTAGAATTTGGCCAATGGTCATTAAAGACATGATCCAAAGCCCACTGAAGCCAGTAAGAGTCTTTCCATTGAACGTAATGGGTTTTGTGTCAGTGCCTAAGTAGGGAATAGGCTCACGCATATAAATATATGTTAGTACCCATGGCCTGTCAAAATTCCAACACAGGAAATTACATTCTACCTGCTGAAAGATGCCTTGCAGTTTCAACAGGACACAGTTGAACGTTCTATTCTAAACTGCAATGTTGTCTTGTTGTGCATTGCCACGTTCAGACAGAGCTGGCTGCTATTCAGTGGTGCGTTAAGTTATGTAGGAAGAAAGGCACTAGTTACAGACTTAAGAACTGTCACTCAGGAACATTCTATCTGATGACATTGGGGTTTCTAAGGTAACTGCAGGAGGAAGTTCTGAACATCTTTTACAGGGTGGTCCTGGTCCTGGAACGCTTCTGATAAGATGAGAAATGCTAGAGTGCCGCAGCGGGTAGTTAGAAATCCATGACGGGCAATTGGGTTTGAGCTCAGCTTGAGTCAAAGCACTTGAAGTCATGTTTGGGCCTTGGTGTTTGGAGTTCATGGATACTCATAGTCTATGAATCATGGAGAACCACAACAGGGGCTCACTTATCCAGAGTGAGGAGCCCAAGGAAAGATTTGGAAAGAAGCTATTGCTGAAGGGAAAACCAGGATACATGAGACTGCTTTTCCTCAAGACTACTTTAAGAATTCATTCTCTCTCTCTCTCTCATGAGTAAAGGTGGCAGAATCAAGCCCCAGAAAGGTAGGCCAATATTTTCAAATCTGAGTGCCTAAAATTAGATACCCAGATAAGATGACAGATTTTCAGGGATGGTGGCCATTTGTAGTTCCTACTGAGGTCAATCTGGGCAGCAAGTGCTTAGCCCCTCAGAACAGCAGGTTGGTTTTACTCTAGGTTTAAGCAGCCAGGTTTGAAAATATTGGGTTCAGATTTTTAGATAATAGCACAATTTGAGAGCATGCTATTGCATGAGTCCATTTGGAACCCCATTTATGGAAGGATTTCTGGATAACAATTACAATTGATGCAAGATCCATGTAAAATGTTTCACATCAAGATGAGACTCTGTCCTTAAATATAAACACACCTATTTGAGAAACCTCAAAATTTAGAATAGAAATGAAAGATATAGGGGCCAAATTCTGTCACTGAATGCACGTGTGTGTAACTCCCACAGAAATCAGAGCAATGTGCTAGCAACTAAGGTAAAATTTGGTTCTTACTATGCCCATGAAGACTGTAATTATAATTCACATTGTACTAGTAACATTAATTGAATGTTTGGCTGAAATCAAGTTCATTACAACTTAAATACAGTACCTAGCATATAAGGATGGTGTTTAGAATTATAGTCATAAAGTGCTTGTAAAACATCTTCATTGGAGCAAATAGATGGAAGTTTGGGAGTAGTGGCTGCTATGTATCTCAGCCCATTCTGTGCATCTCTGCTTCTTTGAGTAGCATTGTGGAATAAGGTCATACATGCCATTGAATCATCTCCATAAGTAGTGCCAATTCTATAGAATCTTTGGGGGACATAGCCTAAAAGAGTAAGCAGGATAAATGTTAAAAGCTCACAAGATCTAATGGAACATATTGCAAGCATTTACAGACAGAGTGAAATTATCAAGCAAACATAGAACATTATCTGCCATTCTTAGTTCTTCAAATTACACACACACACACAGCAATTATATAGATGGTTACAACTACAGTGATCTCCTATGACCTTAGAAACAAGCCACATTTTGACAAGTACTATGAAAGTACAATCCCCTTATGACGTATCGATTCTGCTAACAGCAATTACCTTTACTGTACCAAAACGTCAGTCTGAAGGGTGGTTTGAAATGCTTTTTTGTGTGTGTGTGGGTGGGAGGGGGATTGTCCTTCTTTTACATGATGCTTTGAAAATGCAGTTTCAGATCATTCATTTTGGTTGAAAATTGTGATTGTATTAAAATGAACTCCTGAATTATAAGAAGTAGATGTAGGTCTTTTATATGGGAGACCAACCCCCAAAGCAGACTTTCACCATGTAATAACTTATTTTCATTATAAAGAATAGATGCGTATAGCACAACTACATATTTCTTTAACATTGAACCTGAAACTATTATGACTATGTTAAATGCTAAAGAAATAGAGATAAGAATCTGATTTAAATCAGATGGGTCTGAATGAAAATCCCACTTCCAACTGTCTCTGAATTTTGTCAGTCTGAACTTTGCACTGAGCCAAAATCCTGGTTCTGAACTATCTCTGAACATTGCGGTGGTTTCGTTCTGGATCCAAACGTTGTGGATCAGGTCCAGCTCTTATGTGAACTAATTGAAGAAAGTAAATTCAAATGCAAAGCTACTATTCTGGCCCAAATTCTCCAGATCAGCTGAGCTGTGCATGTTGAAAGTCTAGGGAGGGGGTGATTTTAAGGCATGTTTACATTCCACCAACCCCAGGCTGCCAGGCTTTGGCATGGTAAAATAGAGCAGAGGATCATAATATGGTAGTTGCTATTGCAGTTCTTTGTCACCAAAGGATTTTCCATGATGCAGGGGAATCCTCCACTGGCTAGTTAAGTTGGGTTTCAAGCTGAGAAAGGAGGTCAGGATGTGGCCCAAACACATTATTTACCTGTGTATCCAGGTATCAGACGATTGCACGCTTCCACGGGTTTTTGATTTGGTTTCATGCTCTCTCTGTACCTGTTTGAAATAAAATGTACATTTACATGTGAACTTATATCCTAATATCAATTAAGCCAGTTCATGACATATCTGTTATATTACTAAGAATAAATATTAGTCAATCTTAAAACTCAGCTAATGGGCCAAATTCAGGTTATTATATTGGTGTAAACTCAGAGTAATTTCACTGCAGCCATCTGAACTCAATAATATTCCTCAAATGTAATCAAGAACAGAATATACTATACTTCTTTTTTAATATTCACTTTTTCTACTAAGCAATGTCATGCAATAGAATTTTTTAAAATATACAGCTAAATCATGAGTTTTTTTGTGCAGTTATATTAAGATACCTGGAAAGGAACATTAAGGAACATAGGATGTATTAATTAATTTATTTCAGAAGGTTGAAAAAGCTACTGGGGGGGAAGCTGTTCTAGACTTGATTTTAACAAATAGGGAGAAACTTGTTGAGAATTTGAAAGGAGAAGGCAGCTTGGCTGAAAGTGATCATGAAATCATAGAGTTTGCAATTCTAAGGAAGGGTAGAAGGGAGAACAGCAAAATAGAGACAATGGATTTCAGGAAGGCGGATTTTGGTAAGCTCAGAGAGCTGATAGGTAAGGTCCCATGGGAATCAAGACTGAGGGGAAAAACAACCGAGGAGATTTGGCAGTTTTTTCAAAGGGACACTATTAAGGGCCCAAAAGCAAGCTATTCCGCTGGTTAGGAAAGATAGAAAATGTGGCAAAAGACCACCTTGGCTTAACCACGAGATCTTGCATGATCTAAAAAATAAAAAGGAGTCATATAAAAAATGGAAACTAGGACAGATTACAAAGGATGAATATAGGCAAACAACACAGGAATGCAGGGGCAAGATTAGAAAGGCAAAGGCACAAAATGAGCTCAAACTAGCTACAGGAATAAAGGGAAACCAGAAGGCTTTTTATCAATACATTAGAAGCAAGAGGAAGACCAAAGACAGGGTAGGCCCACTGCTCAGTGAAGAGGGAGAAACAGTAACAGGAAACTTGGAAATGGCAGAGATGCTTAAACAAAAACTTCTTTGTTTCGGTCTTCACTGACAAGTCTAAAGGAATGCTTAACATTGTGAATGCTAATGGGAAGGGGGAAGGTTTAGCAGATAAAATAAAAAAAGAACAAGTTAAAAATCACTTAGAAAAGTTAGATGCCTGCAAGTCACCCGGGCCTGATGAAAAGGGCAAATATAGTGCCCATCTATAAAAAGG